GCAAGCGTCAACTGTTTTTCCCTCCATCAGCAAGGGCAAACAGGCAGCCCTAAACCCTAAACCCTAAACCCTAAAGCCTAAACCCTAAACCCTAAACCCTAAACCCTAAACCCTAAACCCTAAACCCTAAACCCTAAACCCTAAACCCTAAACCCTAAACCCTAAACCCTAAACCCTAAACCCTAAACCCCAACCCCAACCTTTCTGGCTTTATGGCGCTTAGAGGAACTATGGAGCCCCCCCTTCCTCCTTCAACCCTCGACCCGAAGACTTCCCTAAACCGTAAGCCCACTGTTTCTGACTCAGAGAAACGAGGGGGCCGTATATAGTCCCTTGAAGGGTATCTCTGGGAGGGACATCAGGTGCCTAATTCCCCTCATCCTCTGCAAAGAACCAGGAGGAAAACCCACCTCCTTGCAGTCAGCTTCTCCATCTCCTGAAACTCCACTCAGGCAGAGTTTTTGGGGTGCAAGGCAAAAACGCCTAACACAGGTTCCGGTTGAGGGGGTTAGGGTTTGGTTAATCCGAAACCCTCAGCCCTAAACCCTAAGCCCTAGACCCTGAACCCTAAACCCCCTTTAGGGTTGAGGTGCTTCAAGGTGCTATAGGTGTTGGGGTGTATGGGCTTCAGGGGGTTGAGGGCTTCAGGTTTGGGTAGGTCCTGGACTGTAAAGGGGACAAAATGGGTAACAGCTTTAGGTGTATAGGGGTCGGGCTTCAGGGTTTGGGGTTTGGGGTTTAGGGTTTAGGGTTTGGGGTTTGGGGTTTGGGGTTTGGGGTTTGGGGTTTGGGGTTTGGGGTTTGGGGTTTGGGGTTTGGGGGTTGGGGGTTGGGGGTTGGGGGTTGGGGGTTGGGGTTAAGGGCTTGGAGTTCTTAAAAGCATCAGGGAAACACCTTTTCTGCCCTACTTTGCGGTAGGCTCTGGAGACAAAAAAAGTACATATCCAAAACCCAGTAGACCTCCCTAAACCCTAAACCCTATAAGTCCCTCAGCTCGCGAGCCTCGTCGGCCAAGCCTTCCCTGGTGTTCTTCAGCCGAACGGCCAGCGGCCGCCAGCCGTTGTTTTCCTCATCTGACATAGAGGGTCTCGGGTTTAGGGTTGAGGGCTTAGGGTTTACGGTTTAGGGTTTAGGGTTTCGGGTTTAGGGCTGCTACAGGGGCCTTGAGAATTAGAATAGGGTTTGGTGGGGGGGGGGGGGGGGGTTCCTACAGTACAGTTACAAAGGGACCATAAAGGAATACTATTCGTAATTCTCCGACCCCTGTATTAAGCGGGGTGGTAGAGCTTGGGGCTTCAGGGCTGGGATTGCAGGGTCTTTGGAGCTTTCAGGTTTCAGTGTTCTTGGCTTTTGGGGGCTTCAGGGCTTTGTCTTTTCGACTGTGATGCGCTGCCAAACTGTCTCTTCTCTGGGTCGGGAAAGCTTTGGCGTAGTCGTCACACGATCGCCGAGATTTGAGGGAGACCTAGATAGCTACCAACACTATGCATGTATACGCCCTAGACCATGGCAATATGAAACTACCTAAGAAAACCGTTGAGAACCATGGGCCCCTATTATAGTTGGAGCTCGTCGCTTCATTCCGTGGAAGTCTCCACGGCAAACCGCTGGCCCAGGGAAGGGTGGGCTTGCAATCTAGGAATTGCATGTGAGTAGTTCTCTAAATCCATTCTTTAGGATGCCGTATAACCCTAAACCCTAAACCATATACTATATATAGGACCCAAAAAATGGACCCTAGCTTAGAGAACAACCCATGTAACCTGATGGCCTCTTTTTGAGACCAACTCGACATCCTGGGTAAAGCAACCCTAAACCCTAAACCTTAAAGCCTAAACCCTAAACCCTAAACCCTAAACCCTAAACCCTAAACCCTAAACCCTAAACCCTAAACCCTAAACCCTAAACCCTAAACCCTAAACCCTAAACCCTAAACCCTAAACCCTAAACTCGAACCGAAGACCTCTCGGCATCTAGCGGTTTGGGGGGTGTCATGCCGGAGTTGAAGGTTCGGACTTTAGGGTCTAGGACCATTGGTCGAGGGTTTAGGGTTTAAGGTTTGGGGGTTTAGGGTGTAGGTTTTCGAGTTTAGGGTTTAGGGTTTAGGGTTTAGGGCTTAGGGTTTAGGGCTTAGGCCTTCAAGACCATCCCAGCCCAAAACCACCCAACTCCAAGCTCGCTCCAGTCCCGTTCAAAACAGGAACTGGAGAATTTGCCCACTGATCGACAACAGGTGGCCCCCTTGGACCCTGATCCCTAAACCCTAAACCCTAAACCCTAAACCCTAAACCCTCAAGCCCCCTGTAACTTGAAATTATTAAGAAAAATCTAAAAAACGAAACTCCTTGAAATTCCTCGAAACTCCTCGAAACTCCTCGAAACTTCCCCGGACCTGAACCCTTAATAATTTCAAGAAACCCTAAACCCGAAAAGAAGCCATAAACCCTATAAATCCTGAACCTGAAGCTCCCGCCGAAGGGGCTATGCGCCGATACCAGTGGAGGTCCCCTGCCGCGGCAAAGAGTAGGGAGCTAATTTTAGGGTTTTATGTTTAGGTGATTCCCTAATTCCCTACAAAGCACCAGCTCTACTTTTTTTTGGCTTGCAGGGTTTATAGGTTGTTGTGCTCCCTTTCTCAGGGATACAGATGGGAGATCCCCAGCTGCGACCAGCAAACAGAGGGTCTCAGAAGGTTTAGGGTTTAGGGTTTAGGGTTTAGGGTTTCGGGTTTGGGGTTTAGGGTTTAGGGTTTAGGGTTGAGGGTTTAGGGTTTAGGGTCTAAAGTGAAGGGTTTCGGGTTTGGGTGTTGTGGTGTACTTGAGAGTTTCCCTCATAAGGTTGCCTGGTCACTCCCCGCGAAGCACCCGGTTAATACATAAACGCCCCAAGCCCGAAATCCCAGACCTCGCAACCCCGAAGAACCCAAAAACCCCGGAAAGCGCTGAACAAAAACTCAGAAGCATGAACCTAAACTCGTTTGGTTCCCCTAAACGGTGTGGAATATACCAACACCCTGAAAAACCTTCAACCATCCCACTACCCTAAACCCTAATCCCTGGAAACCCTTCAACCATCCCACCAGTCTGTCGGACTAAGGGAATCCAAGGGGGGGACCAATTCCCAGGGGACCGTCAAGAAGCTCCGGGAACCCTAATATCCCTAAACCCTAAGCCCTACACCCTACACCCGAAACCATAAACCCTAAACCCCACACATTCAAGATCCCTTTAAAAAAAGGTAAGTATGTGGAGGACTGCAAGGCGCTACAAAAAAGACTGCGCGCGAGCGAACCTTGCACGGGGACGCTCTGCTCCTGGCTCCGGGTTTAGGGTTTAGGGCTGGGGTCTAGGGTTCAGGGTTCGGGGTTTAGGGTTCAGGGTTTAGGAGTTCAGGGATTGGGGCTTTCGGAGTTAAAGGTTTAGGGTTTAGGTTCAAGGCTTGGGGTGTAGGGTATAGGGTTTTAGGGTTTAGGGTTTTAGGGTCTAGGGTTTAGGGCTCACAGTTTGGAGCGTTTAGAGTTTGGGGTTTCATGCTTGGGGGGTGTAGGTTCTAGAGTTTAGATCCAGAGTTGATGGTGTACACCCTCAACCCTTAGACTGAGCGCCTAAACCCTAAACCTTACATCCCTCAATCTCTAAACCCTGAGCCTAAACCCTAAACCCTAAACCCTAAACCCTAAACCCCTCACCCCTCAACCTCCAAGCCCTAAACCCCAAGCCCCAGACCAGGCTGGGGGTTCAAGGTTTGAGTACAGGATTTTAGGGTCCCTAAACCCTAAACCCTAAACCCCAAACCTTAAGCCCTAAACCCTAAACCCTAAACCCTCAACCCTAAACCCTAAGCCCTAAACCCTAAACCCTAGCCCTAAACCCTAAACCCTACGTAGGGCTTGTAGGGCCCATAAAGCTTTTGGGGCTTACAGGGTTTTTCGGGCTCAGGGGGGTCTCCTGATTCAGGCGCTCCAGGTGGTAGTCGCGTGGGGCGAAGCTGCCGAGATCTACCACCTCCGTGGCTGTCTGGGGCTTGCTAACGGTTTAGGGTTTAGGGTTTAGGGTTTAGGGTTTAGGGTTTGGGGTTTGGGGTTTGGGGTTTGGGGTTTGGGGTTTGGGGTTTGGGGTTTGGGGTTTGGGGTTTGGGGTTTGGGGTTTGGGGTTTGGGGGTTGGGGTTGGGGTTTGGGGGTTGGGGGTTGGGGGTTGGGGGTTGGGGGTTGGGGGTTGGGGGTTGGGGGTTGGGGGTTGCGGGTTGCGGGTTGGGGGTTGGGGGTTGGGGGTTGGGGGTTGGGGGTTGAGGGTGAGAGTTGAGGGTTTAATTCGGGTTTAGGGTTTAGGAGTAGGAACCCACGACGCTTCAGCTAGGGTCCGAGAGGGGGTCGCCAAGCTGCGTTGCCGTGAGTGTAGATCTTGTAGTAGATCGTCGGCGGGAACCTGGCAAGTTTAGAAGTGTAGAATTTGGGGCTCACGGTTCTCATTCCCAGGATTCTACTAAAGGCGTCCGCCTATCGGAAATCCACGCTCATGTGGGCTTCGGCTGGATAGGACGTTCGATTTACGAATGAGCAATGAGCACTGCTTCAAAAAGAGGTCAGTTTCTGTGGGTCTTTGATTAGAACTGGCCTTGTTTCTGCAGCTGCAACTACATGCGGCAATGTTGCCCCGTCCTCAGGACGTCTGCGCAGCCACTAAGCCTTTCCTCCGAAAGGGCACGATGCCAAGATCCTCCTTCGGAGGGCCATCTCGACATCAGCGGTAAAGGGTAGAGGAGACCTTCCCTGACCCTCCTTTAAAAGGCTAAGCACCAAAGATCGTCATCCTCTGGAGAAGCCGCGGCCAATCGACGTACTTCAAAGCAGCAAAGGCCGCCCCTGTGGACAGCAAGGAGGCGATGGCTGTGAACTGCGCGATCGTGAGCTCCACTCCAGCAACCCTCAGCACCAGCGCCGCGTCTAGTCGCAGCCTCTGCGCAATCGACTCCGTCAAGCCGATGGCATCGCGGACCTCCTCTACGCGCGCGGCATGCTCCGGGTCGTTCTGAATGCGAAGCAGGTACGCACGCGACTCTGTCGCATGCCCCCACAGCAGATCCACATGTGTCGTCTCAACATGTTGGCCCGGAGGCCCACAAAAAGAGGGGGCAGCGAGAAGAGCAGGAAGGACACCAAGACAACCAGAGCTTCGCAGAACAACACTCCCGGCTTCCAATTGGGATCCATTGCGTACCAAGCAAGCATTCCTGACATGGTCAGGACTAAGAGCACATTGATGCCCAGACCCACCTCCGCCGAGAACTTCCTGCGCTGCGAGCTGGCAATGAAGAAGCTGTAAAGCTCGTACCATGCTCCGATGTCCTTCACGCTGCCCACCCTGACGTAGGGACAGCCTTGGCCGGCTGCCGCATTTGGGCCCATGAGCATCGACTCGAAGATCCTGTACGCATCCGCCATTTCTGCCAACAGCGACATCATGCTTGAGGGCCCCGAATAGAACAACAAAATGTTAAAGCGGCAAGCATAAAACATGAAGACGATGGACACGACTTGACACCAACCATTTTCTGGCAAGCGGAAGTTTAGCTCGCGATCTCGCAGAAAATCAGGTGCAAGCGCTGCAACACAGGCCAAGACAAGCGCTGCAAAGCAAAGAAGCCATCTGACTCCGCTGATCACTTTGTCAAGCATGCTAGGTGTTGATGGCCAGCCAATAAGCAACTGCTCTGCCAGCACATCAAGAGGCAATGCGCCCTCACCAAAGCAGTTCCGGTACACAGAAGTAAACTGGTCGAAAAAGGCCGGTCGTGGTGCACCTTTGGAATTATCACCTGTGGAATTATCACTGAGGGCCCAAGAGCCGCATTCCCTCATGCGCCTGAGGTGCCGCACTAGCGACTCATGCGCACCAGCTTTCATCTTGCGGTGAAGTTTGTAAAGCGAATAAGCCTCTCGCAACATATGTGGATCCGAATGGGCATGCCGACATCTGAACATAAAGAACCAATACTCAGAAAGTGTCTCGTGAGGCGTGCTCGCTGCTCGAAGAAGCCACGAGAGAGACTCCTTATCCAATGGAAGCTTATCGAGTCGATCGGCGATTGCAAAATGATCTGCGTCGGTGGCTTCATGCGATGTCAAATTGAATGCCGCAGCCGCTCGCAATTTTAACGCAGCACCAAAGACGAATGGCAACAACGCCTCTGTCAGAGATACCTGTTCTCGAGCACGACCTGCCAAGACAAATGCTAGCAAACTGAAAATTTGCAATTAGTGGCACAAGCAATCCTGGGCTCATCCATTCGAACTTCTGTTCCTGGATCTTGAGCTCAGCTCTCCAACGCGTATCCCCTCGAAGCCGCGCCTTTGCAAGACGGTAAAAAAAAGGCACCCATACATTGATCCAATAAATCGGCTGGGTAATGGCCACCACAAAATGAAAGAGAATCGAGCGCACATCGGGCTGGAAATGTGCATTGTGGAACTGCTCGGATATGTCCATCAGGTTTGATCCTGTGCCGGAATAACCATGCTCGTCTCCACTCTCGTCCTTCCCAGTGCCACTACCAGCATCCTGCGGCTAAAGCCGAGAAGTTCGAGCAGCGTCGAGTGCGAACACCATTGTGTCAGACCCACCCCTGTCAGAAACAGCTGTGGCTGTGAGCTTTACCGGCACATTGGGCTTTGCCAGTTTCTGCACCTTCTTCTTTTTCTTCTTCTGCATCAACTCCGCTGTCTCCTGAGAAGGAGACCCAATCGTCTGCGGATCCATGTCCCCATAGGGTGAAAATCAGCTAGCAAGTCTTGCAGGCTTCTTCTTCGCCTCTGCTCCGCAAACACAAAAAGCACCCTAAACCCCCATCCCTAAACCCGACAAGAGCAAACCCAGAACGCTAGGTCCTTTTGCAACTGGGACTTGGTAACTGCCAGAAATTGTTTTGCAACCCTAAGGTCTCTAAACCCTGAACGCCAGATCAGATTCAAAAATTGCGCACCAGAACTGAAGTTCCAGGTTTGTGCAGCAGCATGTGAGTCACATGAGCTCCTTTCAAAACGGGGGATGTTGGACTCAGGGCTTAGGGTACGCAAGCCTCTCTTCCAACGCCTTGACTCCAGCCATTGCTCACAAGATCCCGATCCACCTCAGCACCCACATGGTCACATGGAGTCTGACGACTCCTGTACGTAGGGCTCCCTGGGTTTAGTGTTTCGGTTTTTGGGGAAGCCGTCGCCACCTGTCGCCCTAGACCCGAAGCCCCGCAGGCCCCCTGAACCTCAAAGCACCCCTGCCTGAGCACTGGGCCTTGACAGCATCTGGCTATACCCTAAGACGCTATAAACCCTAAATCAAAAACCCCAAACCCCAAACCCTAAACCCTAAACCCTAAACCCCAAACCCCAAACCCTAAACCCTACCCTGCGACCCGAAATCCGATGTCATCCAGCCCACACACAGAGGCCTCGGTCCACCTAAGCGGAAGCGCACATGGACCTCCGGCAGGCGCTTGGGGGTTAGAGGGGTCTGCGGGTTTAGGGTTTAGGGTTTAGGGTTTAGGGTTTAGGGTTTAGGGTTTAGGGTTTAGGGTTTAGGGTTTAGGGTTTAGGGTTTAGGGTTTAGGGTTTAGGGTTTAGGGTTTAGGGTTTAGGGTTTAGGGTGCGGGGCTTTAGGGACCTAGAGGTTCAGGGGTGTAGGGTCTGGGGTGTAGGGTTTCAGGGTTCTAGAGGGGCCTTGGAGATCCCGAGATTCAGGGGATGAGAGGTCTTAGGGGGCTGAGGGGTTTGGGGTTGCAGTTTAGGGTTTAGGGATTAGGGATTAGGGTTTAGAGTTTTAGGGTGTTCGGGTTTTCGGGGACTACGGGATTTGAGGTGGGTTGAGGGACGGACCTGAAAGTTTCAATAAACCTAAAGCCCTCAATCCCCCAGGAAGGAGGAAGGAGGCGACCCAACCCCCCCAAGTCGAATCCCCCAAGTAGGCGCCTGCATTGCCGGATCCAAGAGCACACACTCTCGTGGGAGGACGCCGCGGAGCCTGCAGCGTTCGAGGGCAAAGTTTAGGGTTTGTGGAGCTTAGGAAGATGGGGGGGGGGGGGGGTGACAGGTTCAGGTTGTAGGGTTTAGGGTCCCTAGCTTAACACAACGGTCCTGCTCACCTGGGTGGCTGTCTGCAGTGGGTCGTGCCCTTGTTCGGCCCAACCTCCCCCGCCGTCACCCCCCCCCCACCCCCCCCCCCCAAGCCCTCCAAACAGATGACAAGGTTCCCTCGCGAGAAATCCCATGAAGCCTGGAACCCAAAATCAATCCAATCCCAACCCTCAGCCCCAAACCCTAAACCCTAAACCCTAAACCCTGAACCCTAAACCCTAAACCCTAAACCCCCTAAACCCTAATCACGACAAGACTTCGCGCCTATTTGAGAGCCAGCTAAAGCCCCAAGGGGCGAGGCCCTGAACCTTGAAACCCTAACCTGAAACCTTGAACCTGAAACCCAAACCTTGAAACCCTAAACCTGAAAACCCTAAAACCCTACACCCTAAACCCTAAAACCCTAAACCCTAAACCCTAAACCCTAAACCCTAAACCCTAAACCCTAAACCCTAAACCCTAAACCCTAAACCTACACCCTAAACCCTAAACCCTAAACCCTAAACCCTAAACCCTAAACCCTAAACCCTAAACCCTAACCCTAAACCCTAAACCCTAAACCCTAAACCCTAAACCCAGAAAACAAAAAAAACTGTAGGTCTAAGTGGCAGCAAGTAGGGGTCGCCCGAGCGACGGAACCTCGAGTTGATACAAAAAGGTTTATTCGGGGTGAGAGCTTAGGGTTTAGGGTTTAGGGTTTAGGGTTTAGGGTTTAGGGTTTAGGGTTTAGGGTTTAGGGTTTAGGGTTTAGGGCTTAGGGCTTAGGGCTTAGGGTTTAGGGTTTAGGGTTTAGGGTTTAGGGTTTAGGAATTACGTAGAGGGGGCTGGTCCAGGGTTCCATTCTTATTGGGGCTTAAGAATTTTAAGCGTATGGCTTTGGGGTTTAGAGTGATAGGTGCCATGCAAGTATTTACATCTCAAGTTTCGGGCCTCGCGCCTTCAAATGTTGGGGTTACGGGTTTAGGGTTTAGGGTCTAGGGTTTAGGTTTCGGGTTTTGGGGTTAGCTCTGAAACCTGAACAGCTTTTAACCTGCATGCGAAAAAAGCCCGGCCAGGGGCAACAAACCAGCCATCCCCAACCCCTCCCCAATCCTGGTTCGCAAGGCGCTCTAGAGACCCTAAACCCGAAACCCTAAATCCTAAACCCTAAACCCTAAACCCGAAAACCCTGGGGACCAAAGACCTCCTAAGCCACTACACCACCCTCAAAGCTTGAAGCACTGCAAGTCGCCCTTCGACCTTAAACTTCTCAACCCTAGACGTTAAACCAGGTCACTGAACAGTAAGGCCCGTGCGCAAGACTCTGCGTGGAACCCCAAACACTGAAACAGTACAAACCCTTAAACCCCGATACACTAAAACTCTACACACCAGGCCGGCCTAACCCCCAAACCACCTTGTACCCTCTACCCTGAACCCTAAGCTCTTAAGGCTCTTGAACCCTACTTGGAGGTTCATGGTACTTATAAACCAATTAGAACTGTACTTATAGCTGTACTTGTAACTCTATTAGGGCGCTTCAGGGGCTTCTAAGTGGGTTATAAGTACAGTTATAATTGGTTTATAAGTGCCATGAACCTCCAAGTAAGCCCCAAACCCTAAACCCTAAACCCTAAACCCTAAACCCTAAACCCTAAACCCTAAACCCTAGACCCTAAACCCTAAACCCTAAACCTCCAAGCAAGTCCTACAATCCCCTGTGAAGAAGAGCGTCGCTGCGATGGTCTCCCTGAGGGTAGCGAAGGTGCGCATGTCGCGGCGCCCGCGCCATGCGCGCTGGATGCTGCGCGCTGCCTCTGCTCAGGGCTGAGGGCTCGGGGTTCAGGGCGTAAGGCTTAGGGCTTAGGGTTGCTAGGGCTTAGGGGCTCAAGGCTTAGGGCTTAGGGCTTAGGGCCTAGGGCTTAGGGCTTAGGGCTTAGGGCTTAGGGCTTAGGGCTTAGGGCTTAGGGCTTAGGGCTTAGGGCTTAGGGCTTAGGGCTTAGGGCTTAGTGCAAGATGAGAATTTTTGGTGAAGGTTTGAGGGTTTGGGTTTAAAGGGTCTTGGGCTTGAGGAATTCAAGGTGTCAGGTCGGGCTCTCCGCGGGATCGGCTGGGACCCTTGGGGGCTTTTGGGAGGTTTGGGAACCCTAAGCCTTTGTACACTAAGCCCGTTCTTGCGTTCTGTAGAGCCCTAAACCCTGAACCCGCAACCCTACAGCGTACCCTAAACCCTAAACCCTAAACCCTAAACCCTAAACCCTAAACCGGGGCGCCTCAGCGAGTCGCTTGGCATACCGGACGAGGCCCTCCTGCGGGAGCAGAGATGCTGCTCGTTGGGACCCAATTTCGGCTTTTGCGGGGTCGAGCTGCTTCCAGAACATGTGGATGACGATGCGAAAACTGTTGAAGTAAGCGCAATGCCATTCAGTAAATCAGAAAACCATGATGCTGATCATCACACAGATGATGAAGATGATGCTGAGACTGGTGATAACAATGACAAGGGAAGGGTTTGGGGCTTTAAGTTATAGGCCTAAACCCTAAACCCTAAACCCTAAACCCTAAACCCTAAACCCTCAAGGTTTGGGGTTTGGGGCTTGGGGCCTAGGGTTTCGGACCCGGCAGAAGGGAGCGTAAGCGTAGCCAGGGCTCCTGCTCCGTCGATCTCTGGCTCTCCTCCTGCTGGAACCTGGTGCTGGCCGGGTGGAATTGAGGGCTTTAGGGTTTAGGGGTTTAGGGTTTAGGGCTAGGGTTTAGGGTTTAGGGTTTGGGGTTAGGGTTTGGGGTGTAGGGCTAGGGTTTTGGGTTTAGGGTTCGCCCTCCTCCCATACATTGGTACAGGGGTTGAGGGGTTTAGGGCTTGGGGCTTTCAATGC